GAAACCCACATCACAATCTTCCATACTCTCATTGAACACAGTGCAAGCAAGCAACAAAAGGCATAAGCAACCAGCAAACCACAGGTGACAATTTTTGATTACCTAAAGGAATCACAATATAGAATTCAGTCAAAACATTTAGGCATGCCAGGAAACAAAAGCAAACTCTTACCTCCTTCCAGTTACCTCACTGGGGCCTCCAAGGTGATGCAGGAGAAATATAGCCCCAACCTGCTAGATGTCAGATGTGCCGAGGTGGTCTCAGAAGTCTAAGAATGAATTCCAAAGAACAAAGGAGGTTAAGAGTAGGAAAGGTTTATGGGGGGAAAAGGAATTTCCCTGAGAGACAGGAGGGGTCCCGAGTGGGTTGCCCAACAGCAGTGTTTTTGTTGAATTAAATTACTTGTTTGCTTTTCACTTTTCAAAGTTGAGCAAATTGATTTGCTGTTCCTGAGTCATTTAAAGTGTTTTCTAAATAAGAGCTAACATCATGCCTTATAAATGCTACTGACTCCCAACCCCATGGGTTCTTTTCACACTGGTATGGTAGAAATCAGACTGTCTTTATAATACGAAGAGAGGACTTCTGACATTTGAAGAAAGTTTTTTGCTTCACAGGTCAGGTAATCAGCTCCATACATGCAGTGGGATTCATTATCAGCTGAAATTGTACATTTGTTTTTGAGTTAGCTGGGCAGATAATAATGAAAGTCAGCCATGGATCTCTTGAGTGGCATTCACAATTATCTTAAAGTGCAGGAAGAAAATTAGCAGGTGCTGAAGGATAGGAAGGTATGTGCTCAGGTGTGTGTGAGGTGTGCATCAGGCCTCTGGACAGCTTTGGAGCATTCGAAGCTCAGAGCTCTCAAACCTTCTCAAGGGCTGCACTTCCAGTGCACAAAGATTTTAGGGACTGCTGAGTCCCAAAGGGCCAGGTTGCATCTATGGATGTGTCTGAATTGTTGTATTATAATTTGAGAAGCAGCAAAAGCTCCACTTACTGGAATGTTGTGGTCCAGCCTGCCAAGGGGGCTGGTATGCACTCAGCATTGAGGATGCCCCTTTGTGCAAAGACATCCTCTCCCAGTGCAAACATTACATGCAATTGTGTGAAGCATCCCTGACAGTAATCCTAAGGAAACTCAGATCTCTGGCACCATGGGGCCTGGGAAGAGTGGGCCCTTAGTTTCATGGGAGCAAGACAAAGGACTCCACGTACAGAAGGAATTAGGAATCATGGGCACCCACAGGACAGCCTGTAGGAAATGGGGGTCTACTAAGAGACCTGATTTGCCTACTCTAAAAATTTCCAGAGGCCAGTGATAGAGCTATTCTAGCAGCTCTGGCCCTTTTGGCTGTGGTTCACACCCGCTCTGTAGAATGCATCCATTATAAATAGCCCTGTGGACCTCACTAGGCATAATAAGGATGTGAGTTATTTCCCATATCCCTTACTAGAGTGCTGTTACATTAATTGGTGTTTATCTCCACATGTGCACTTATTTGCAGCATCCCAACAAAACTGCTTCAAACAGGTGCCCTCCTGCATTTTGGCCTGAGAGCCTTGTATATTTCCATAGGACACAGTAGCTATTTGCCTGGGTTTTGTGAGTCCCATTATCACGATCCAGAGGCTGAGGTGGACCTGTTCTTGCCCCAGGGCTGAATGCTACCACCAACCATTACCTTCAACCCATGGAGTTCTGGAGGCTGTGCCACAGCTGCCTCACTGCACTCACCCGACGGAAGCCAGTGTGTCCATTGGGTCCCTTGGACAGAAAGCTCCGCAGTTTAAACAGAAAATGGTTTACTATGAGGACCTGTTAATTAGCAGAAGTGGGTTGATTACTGTGTGGGGCGAAGGGAATGCTAAGAAATGGCAAGAAGTGGACATGGGAGCAGTGACCTTTCCAGAAAGAAGAGACTGTCCCAAAAGGGAAAGTTGGAAGAGCACCTGGAGGATTGGGAAGTGGCTGTGTCCCTCTGGGTGTGGCCGTCCGGAAGCCTCTCCTGGGTGCCTGTGGCATTTCTGGAAGCTTCCTGGTCAGGTCAGCAGAGCTGGCTGGGCTGGCACCTGTGCCCCCTGCCTGCTGCCAGGACCAGGGCCACAGGAAGGGTAGGGATGGTGCCTGGCCTCCAGCCTGGCTGTCTCCCCAGGTCCTTCCCTTCCCCTAAACAGAGCCCGCTTCTGTGTCTAATTGCAGGGAGCCTGTGGAGCAGCAGTCTGAGCCATCTCTGGTGCCCCTGGGGTCTCTGGGAACAGCTCTGGGTGTGAAGTCCAGTTCTGCACTCACGGTCCGCTGTTTTAAAGACATACGCATTCTCCAGGAGTGTGAGAGTGTGTGTGTGTGTGTGTGTGTGTGTGTGTGTGTGTGTTTCTCCAGTTTGGGAGATAGATGTAGAAACAAGATGTGATCAAGAAATAGCAACACAACTGACAATAGCTAAATCTTAGAAAGAGCCTGTGTGTCCATCAGCAGGTGAATAGGTAAAGAAAATGTGGTGTCTATACACAGTGGGTTACTACACAGCCATAGGATAAATTTGAGGGTTTTTGTAGGATAATGGGTGGATCTTTAGGGCATACTACCGTGTGAAATAAATCAGACACAAAAAAGGTAAATATCATTGCTCTTTATGAGAAATCCAAAGTACAAATAACTTAAAAAACAAAGATAGGGAACAGGGAGGTGGACCTTTTGCAATGGAAAGAGAATCGATGGATGGAGTGAAAGCAGAGGTAGAGGAGAGGAAGGAGAAATAAAAGGATTAGGATGCAATATACTTATGCTCCAACTCCCCACCACGAATGTATTCATTTTGTATGGCAAGTGTTCTAATAGGATTTTTAAAAAATGCACTGAATGTTTAAACTTTTAAAAAATCATGACAGTACAAGACACATTGCTGTGAATCACCCTCAAAATCCCCCCTTCAAACATGCTCACCCTATCATTCTTGCTGCTTTCTGAAGCACTCTGGAGGCCTCGTTCCTGCACTGTCCTGGCTGCCTTAATCCCAATGTTTTGAATCGATTCAAAACATTTACCACAATTTCTGTCAAAGAAAAACATCCCACCATGTCCTCTTGCACCATATTCTTGGATTTGACACTGTGTGACTTCTGGATCTTCCTCCAAGTCAAAACGACCATATCAGGGAAGCGTTTTGAATCGATGTAGCACATGGAAGCAGCCAGGACAACACAGCTGAGGACACTCAGGAGAGAGGATGCCAGAGCCGCTGCGGGAAATGGCAAGGACAATGGGATGAGTGTGCTTGGAGTACTCTCGAGTGTAAGCTACTTCCTGCTGCACCCTGGTATCAGTTTCCCCAAAAGCACACTGACATTTCATCCTGAGTAGGAATCTGGGGGGGGGGTGAGAGTTTGTGAGAAAAAACAACCCCTTGTTCAAGGTGTCTGCACCCAGTGCCGTGGAAGCAGGTGTAGGGGCACCTCGGGCACAGGGAGAAATCTCCTTTCCTGGTGAGAAATGTTGAGGGCGCTGAGGGGGACGGAGGGCCCCAGATGTTGTGTTCCTTCTGAGCTCAACTCAATATACCGTCCCAAGTTTCAGAACTCCATCCCATCCCGATAATTGGCAATTTTCAGATTAAAAAAAAAACTGAGGAGACTGTGAGTTCCACTGCCACTGTAATTCAGCAAGATCACAACTGGATTCTGTGGTTGATCAGCAATATGGTAGCTGCAGGAGACTCAGTGAAGGCTGGATGGATCCTTCCTGGTTCTCTTATTGTGGCCTGAGCTGAAGGGCAACGGGATTGTTTGTCTTTTCTTTCTTGTTAATTTCTTTGCTCTTTTCTTGAGTGAGTCCTCCACTGCATGCAGGGGTGCCCCATGGTGCTACAGTCCCTCTGGTCATCACTTCCACTATAACGGTCAAGTACTACAGCCAAGGTACCTGCACAGGGACAGTCAACCTCAAGTGACAGTTTGGTGGTGTGTGACATCACTGTGTGCTGTGGAACGCACACCTCCCAGGTCCCCTCACACTGGGCCTCAGCACTGTGCTCCAGCTGCAGGGTGACCCACCACACCCCAAGCCCCCTCTCAACCTTCATCCCCTGAGGCCACTCTGCTTCCTTGAGGGTCTAGCCAGTGCTCTCACCCATAATCCCAGCAAGGAAGAGGGAAGTCACGTAATTATTAACTACAGTAGTGAGCAGGAATTAACTACTTACTGTGATTCAGAAAATGCTGAAGGACACAGAAATAGCAGACGTAGGTAACAGACGCCGTTGTGGAGCAGCGGGGTGGCTGTTCGTGCCCTTTCTTGAAGAAGACGTGGTAGCCATGCCTGGAACATTTGATGGAGGGACTGAAGAATGTGGAGCGGTGGGGATGAGTCATGTGACCAGTTTGTAAGAATGAAATCAAAGCTGTGGTTCTAGGCTGAGATGGTCAATGGGGTGGGATAGGAGCACTCAGAAGACCTGCTGATGAAGGGCCTCTGCAGCTAAAAGATGTGGAAGAGCCACACTAGTGAATATTTCTTCCTTCCAAAATGGAACATAGAAGGAGAAAAACCAACCAGGAGCCATTAGCACAGGTCTTTGTTAAATCATTTTAGCAAGAGAACAGCTCCCAGGGGCATTTCTGTGGAGCATAAGGAATGAAAAGATTTTACAGGATAGACTGGAGAAGATGAGGCCAATGCACCTTGTTCTTGGAAGAGTTCACCATGGACGCTCTCCCAAGGCATGACCATGCCCTGGCAGTGTAGTTGGGGTGAGCAGAGGGGTGGGGAAACACAACTGGGATCCTGCTGTCTGTGTAACACGTTGCACACTTAAGAGTCTCTACAGTTACTGAATGTACTTTTTTTTAATAATTCTGGTTGTCTCCTTGGTTCACCAGGACTGTATTGACCAGAAACTATTTCTGGGTCAGTTTCCTGGCCAGGACTAAAGTGAAGTTTAAAATCTGTTTTGTATTTCAGTGGTTTATGTATAATGTCATGTTTTTCTTCTTCATGTAGGCTGGAGCCAATGTCTTTCTCCAGGATGTGAATGGAAATATCCCGTTAGATTATGCAGTGGAAGGGACTGAATCCAGCTCTATCCTATTGGCCTATCTGGATGAAAATGGTATGTGGAAGCTTTGTGAAAAAATGTATAAGAAATAAGTGGATAGAACCATAAATATACATGAATTTTTCTAGCTATGCTGAAATGATTTCAGATGGATGTTGTTTCTCTTGATGGTGTAAAATACGATATCTTTCTCTTCCATTTTTCAGTGCTTGTACTATGTGGCTGGTTTTATCAATGTAGATTTTTGCAAAAGCCAGCAAAAATCTAGAGACCAGCGATGCAAGAACATTTTTACAGTCATCTGAAGTCCATAATCAGTAGGATTGGGTTTGTGATTGCGGTCTTCCCCCACCCCCGGAGGGGAAGGGACTTGAACCAGCATGACTGAATTTGAGTTAATGAGCGTGGGGCTGGCTCAAGTGTATTCTCGCCAGAGCCCTTGATGCTGGTGAATGTGCAAGGGAGGACATAGGTCGAGGGCATTTGTGCTGTCCCGGGAGCCACACTGTCACATTTAGAAACACAGAGGCTGTCGTGCGGTGCTGGGCAGCAAAGGTGAGGCTGAGGCAGATTGTGTCACTGAGGAGGACATCAACTGCCCTGCACGGCGAGAGTGTTTCCTGAGACCACTCAGTGATGGGAAGGTGGGGCAGGGAAGCAAAGAATTAAAGAGTTGGCTATCGAGAAATAGGCTGCTGTGAACATGGGTGTGCGTAGATCACGGGAACAGGACTTCTGTGACTCTGGGAAGACAGCTCAAAGGGGAACAGCTGGGTCAAACGGAATTTCTCGTTTTACCTTTTAGAGGAAACTCCACACTGGTTTCCATAATTGGGGTACTAGTTTACAGCCCCTCCAACAATGTGGGAGGGTTCTCTTTGCCCCACAGCCTGGATGGCATTTGTGATTGTTTAATTTCTTCATGGTGGCCATTCTTTCTGGGTAAGATGGAATCTCAGTGTTGTTTAAACTTGCATTTCTCTAGTGGCAGTGATGTTGAACATTTTTTCATATTTTTATTGAACATTTATACTTCTTCTGAGGTGTGTGTGTTCATTTTAGTTGCCCATTTTTTGATTGGGTCTTTATATGGGGGGGTCTAATTTTTGAGTTCTGTATATATTCTAGATATTAGTCCTCTGTCTGAGGAATAGCTGAAAAAATTTTTTTTCGCATTTTTTGGGGTAGTGGAGATTGAACTCAGGTCCTTGCGCTTGCAAGGCAGGTGTGGCACCTCTGAGCTAAATCCCTGGCCCTTTTCCCATTTTGTAGGTTATCTCTTCACTCTGTTAGGTTGCTTTTTTTGCCGTACAGAAGCTTTTTAATTTGATATGGTCATTTCTTGTGCAACTGGGGCTCTGTTGAGAAAGTCCTTGCCTATGTCTTCAAGAGTTTTACCTATTCTTTCTATCAGCAGATTGTTTCTGTTTTACCGTTTAGATCATTGATTCATTTTGCATGGTTTCTCTGACATGAGAAGTCCGAAATATAAAGAAAGAAAAACCTAAAAGATAGATCGCAGAAAATAGGGAGATAGAGCTTTTGAAAATGAGTTAGGCATGAAGAGATGGAGGGAGGAGGGCAGGGAAGGGGAGGGGAATGGGATGAAAACGAATTAGGACGTGTCATTCACACGCACCAAGTCCACACGATGGAGGGAATCGTGATCAACCGCAAACATGGAGTAGGAATAGAGAAATAGGAATCGGAAAAAATAAAGTAAGACCCCCTTTCCATGCAGAAACAGGAAATACTCAAAGAGTCAGGCCCTCCTGTTTGCTGCTGTTTGCATGTCACTATCCAGCAAGGAGGCACAGTCCTCCCAGGGTAGCCCTGCACAGAGGAAGCCCATGGTGTCCCTGGCCCGTCCAGGGCTGGCCACGCCCACCTTATTGCTTCCTGTGAGGTGCCTCATTTTCCCCGTGCCATTGCCTCCTGCCACTCGCTGGCTCCAAAGGCTTATTTCACGAGGGCATGGGTACTAACTGGAGCTCAACGGCCCCAATTCTAAAAGTCTCATTACTTGGGAAAACAAGGCAGGAAAGGCTGTCTTGGTGGGGAAGGCGCGAGCCTCCCTGTGCTGAAGGTGGCCTAGGGTGCGGGGGGTCTGGCACAGGCAGGCTGGGGTGCTGGGGTGCTGGGCCCCGGTGCTGCCCACGCCGCAGCCCTCAGGCCTGGCTCCTCAGCCGGTAGCGGTGTGCTTGCTGCCTTCAGTCTTGGGGACCGAGCCTTGCTGGAGCGGATTCCATCCCGTTACTTCTAAGAGAGCGAAGCACGAGTAGGGCAGATTTCACGTACTGGAAGTGAATGGCGGATCATGCCGAACTCCCCAGGCAGGAGACAGCTCTGAGTTTGAGAAGGAGCTGGCTGTGTCGGCGCCGACAGTTACCAATGCTATGTTACTGTGTACTTCTTCTTCTGGTGGTGGTGCGGGAGATTGGGCCCAGGGCGTTTGCACTGACCTGCATCCCCAGCTCTTTGTTTTGTTTTGTTTTGTTTTGTTTTGAGACAGAGTCTAGCTAAATTCCCCAGGCTGAGCTTGAACTTGCAGTCCTCCTGCCTCAGCTTCCCAGAGTTCTGGGGATACAGCCGTCTGCCACCACTCCTGTCTTACACGCTTAATGATTTTAAGAGTATTCTTTTGTGACCTGTTAGCATAACCAAGATGATAATAGTGATGATAAATAAAGAAAGTGGGAGGAGACATTGCAGTGTGGGCTGTGCTTACGTTTTACAGCTGTAGACTGGCCTGGAAATTGATTAGCTTGTATGGGTTTCCACCGGCCTTGCTCTCCCACTCCCTCCTGTCTTCTGTCACATGTCGTAGGGTGCACTTCCTTGGCACCCCTTCCATCCTGTCCACCTCGCTCACCAATCCTGCTGTTACTGCCTTAGCTAAGACTCTGCTCTTTCAATTTTGGGGTAGAGCCGCTGCCTCCCAGTCTGGGCACTGTGCCCCTGTCAGCCCTCGCCATTCACACTCATGCTATGTGGCTGGATTCATACATCTCTTGTCTTTCTTCTGCTTCGTGAAGCTGGTTCGGGACCTGTTCCTGCCCCAGGCTGTCCAGGGTCACCCACAGTCAGGTGACAGCACGTCCCCACTGCACTGAACAGTGCTCAGCTATCTCAGCTGTGCAGGCTTGGTGCAGGGAACAGGCAGAGGGCAGCAGTGCCCTTCTGATGGCACTCATCTCTCTGCTGGAGCCACTGTTCTGCATTTGCCTGCAGAACCAACCTTACTGCTTCCTTGAATCTCTTAGGAAGTTTGCATGGAGACCACGGTGTGGGAAAACTGCTATTCTGTGAGTCGGGGAATCCAGTGCCCAAATCATGACATCACTTGTGTGTCCTAGTGCATTAGGACCCCGTCCCCCTGTCTCGTCACTCTTTTATTTTTCCCTTCCTTCCCTGGGATTTGAACCCAGGACCTTCACACTGAGCTGCATCCCCAACCTTTCATTTGTTTTCATTTTTTTATTTTGAGACAAGGTCTCGCTAGGTTGCCCATGCTGGGCTTGAACTTGCAATCCCCGGCCTGGGCCTTCAAGGTAGCTGGGATTCCAGGCATGCGCCACTGCACCCTGCTAGTGTTGCTTCTTTTTGGGAAGCAAAAATGTGTTTTGGTTATACCCAAATGATGATGCCATACATATGGAACTGAATGAAAATCAGTTGAGTGTAGATCTTACAGAAACACTAAGGAGAGAGAATATACTTTGTCCTAAATCAGCTACAGACGTGTCACAGTCCTCTTGGGTAAGGGGCTGTTACATCCCGGGCCAGAGAGGGTGGGTGACAGGCAAAGTGAGCAGCTCAGATAGAGATGGGCTTGGGGCGGCTGTGGAAGGGAGGGGTTATGAGGTCTTCTGGGGTCTCTACAGCAGTACACTTCTGCAGAATTGTCCTGGCGTTACACTAACTGCATTGGAGAGCCCCATACAAAGGAAAAGCTGGATTGACCTCCCAAAATTCCTTAGAACAGTTAAGAGAAACTGAGGTAAGGCTAAGATTGATTGTGATATTGATATAATTTCAGTTTTGCCTAAGTATCTATTCTTATCAAATTAACCAGTCAGTAGAAATAGTATCCCATGGAACACCTTAAGGGTTTCAGGTAAATTATTTTTTTTAATTCCTAAGTTAAATACCAGATTCATCTCCAAATAGTAAATCTAAGCAGGGCTTATGTTAATAACTTTTTTGGTGGGGGGCATACTGGGGATTGAACTCAGGTCCTTGCTCTTGTGCTGCAGGTGGCGAAACCACTGAGCTAAATCCCCGGCCCTATGTTAATAACTTTTCAGAAAATATATGGAAATAAAACTAAGTTTCTCTTAGAAAATGAGAATTGGCCCATCTGTTACAAAATAGATGTATGATGCACTGTGGTCATCTGGATCATTTCACTTGGGAGCAGAATTTGAGAACCTGGCTTAACCATGAAGAGAGAGAATTTCTGTTGCATTACTACCAAAATGATGTCTGTGTTTCTTTCCTGAACAAATAATGGAAATTGAAAAATTTATGCTCCAGAGGCTTGACCCGAGTGTCCACACTGAGTTATGTTCCCAGCCCCTTGAGACAGAGTCTCACCAACTTGCTAAGCTCTTTAGGCTGCTCTCAAACTTGCGATCCTCCTACCTCCACCTCCGAGACTGCTGGGTAACAGGAAAGCAGTGCCGTGCCTGGCTAAAGATTGCATCTTGATTTACACCATGTTTGATTCAATATTGTTTTAGGTTAATAGGATACAGATTCATGTTTCCCTGTGGTGTCTTCATAACAGAGATCAGAAATAGATTGTTTTTCACACCGTGTTGTACCATGATGAGCTTGCAGTGAGTGGTATTTTACCACTGTATTTTAATTTGTGTCTTTCATCTTTGAGCTGTTACATTTTTTCATTAAATTTTAATTACATACTTAAATAATTTTTAAAAGATAAGTACAACTTGTGTGAACACTGCAGCATTAGGAAATTTAATAAAGTAATGTAACCTTAGATTCTTCTGCAGCTTTGGGTATAAAATTGAATAATAGCATTCAGGAAATAACATTTTCCAAAATTAAATCACATGTCAAATCCCATAATCCTGAAAATGAAAATACAGTGACAGATTTAGTTGGTTCCTAGCAGAACTCAAATGGCTCATGATTCAGCAGTTGAGGGTGAATGAGAGTTTCTAGTTCATTTTTCTAAACATAGCCTAGCTTTTAGCAGAGTATGTGAGATTCACACATGATTCAGAAATTTATTTTGCTTTATTTTGATGTCCTCAGCCTCATCATGGCCAAGAAGGGAACTCTACATCAGTGGCGTGCACGCGTGTGCCAGAGGCTGGTTAATAACCACAGCTCCCTTTTCCAAAGTGCTTACTGCAGCCTTGTGCTGCTTGTATGTTGTGTTTTAACTCGCTCTAATATCTATTGGTGAAACAGGGGAGCTCTCAGCCCTGTTTTGCAGAAGCAGTCCTGGGCAGGTGGGCTCCTGTGCTGCCCAGGTTCAGAATAAGCTGGGAGCAGGTGTGGACACCCTAAGGGGAGGGAGGGCGGAGAGGCACCATGCCCGACGTGGGCTCTTCCCCGGAGAGCGGTCTGAAGTCTGTGGCCAGCAGCATTGCCACTTTGGGCTCCAAGTTCTTATCCAACCTGCTGGGGATGCCGTGACCCACACAGGTGAAAGGACTGCCCCAAAGTCAGCCAGAGGGCGCCAACCCGAGCTGGGCACCATAGGAGCCTCACACAGGGCTGTGCTTGGGTCCACGTGCCAGGCTTCCTGTCCAGGTGTGCAGCCAGGACTCACTCAGATATGAGGTAGAAGTGCTCAGAAGAGAGGCTGCTCACAGCAAATGCATCTGAGAGGGAGAGTCCATCGCGATCACCATCCCCATCCATCATCTCCATCCCCAGCATCCCCACCCTACCTTCACCACAGCAGTCACCACCTTTATCATCATCAGCAGCAGCATTGTCATCATTTTCATTTACACTTGGAAGTGGGTGAATTATTTCTCTTCAGTAAGTATCAATTTTTTCTAGGAACCAAAGCAGGTCACAGGAGATATCTAAGTAGAGAGAGAGTCGCTTGTGGGGCCATGAATTTCATGTTCAGCACCTGCTGATGTGGGTGTGAGCAGGAGGTAGAGGGACCTGAGCTTCCTGTCATACGCGATGGCCTGAAGTTAAGGACTGGCGTGTGAGGATTTGACTTCATTATCTTCAGTAACGTGCACAGTCACGAAAGGCCTGGCTGGAGCATCCTTTTAAAGAGTGACTTAGAAATCATGAGATGTGTGGGAAAATCTCACGGACAGCACCGAGGGTTCCGAAGCATCATACTTGGAGCTTCCTCCAATGCCACCATCACATAGCTATGGTGTATCCATCAAATCTAAGACACTAACATAGGTACAACCCTGTTATTAACTTAATACACATGTTATTCAGATTTTTGCTAGTTTTTCTATTACAATCTTTTTTTAAATTCTAGGATACTATACTGCTTTAAGGAGTAACTATTTGGGTCAGAAAAATCTTAAAGAACAAGAATCGTATCTTTTCAACTTTTTAAAAATTCAGTTTAAGTACTTTAAAATACTTTGGGCAGTGTATCTTGGTAGTTTATATTAAAACAGATATTCCTGAAGAGCTTGCCACATATAAGGCATCCCATCCTGGCTCTGAGATGTAGCAAGTGATGAATTTTTCTTCCTGTAAAGACTATAATCTAGTTAGAAACAGAATGCATGCAGAAGGAAGAATTCACAGACCTAGAATTCAGGTACAAACCGGAAAGGGGGCTTCAAAGCTGATCCGGGGGAGGAACACCTGCTAAGGAGCTCTCATCCCCAGTGGTGTCTCTCCTTTTGTCCTGAAAGTTCCTTTCTCCCCCAGGAGTGGACCTGACCTCGCTGCACCAGTTGAAGCTCCAGAGACCCATGAGTATGTTAGCTGATGTGGAGCGCTTCCTGTCATCTGGAGGAAATGTTAACGAGAAAAACGAGGAAGGGGTCACTCTGGTGAGTTCGCTCTCTTGACTCAGGGGTTGTCTCAGTCGACTCTAAAATGTAGAGCTGAATATAATTCACAGTTAAATAGCATAGGATTTTTTTTATTATACAAAGCAATGCCTATTCATTATAGGAATTTTGGAAAACACAAAATCTGTAGAAAAGAAAGTGCAAAATATTTACACCACCATGTGTTTCTGCTCATGTATTTCCTCCAGGTCTTTCTTCTATGGATGTTTTTCCTACAGATTTAAAATAAGTTCTGTGCATTATTTTGTCAGTGCAGGTTCTGCAGTGTAACTTAGAGGAGAAGGCTTTCATTTTAGTTTGAAGCAAAACAAACTTGGTTCCTTTTGAAATTAATTCAGTTCAGAAATTCTAGCAAACTCCTCCCATGACATTGCTGTTACTCTTCAGGACGAGTTACAGTAAATTAAAAATAGGTCGATTTAATTTGGAATCATTTTAATATAATTGATGCTGACATCGCAGTCACATTCTGCCTTATTGACCCATAAAACATAAAGTGAACTATAGCAGGAAGAAATGTAGTAAGCACCAGAGGGCAAAGCACTGAGAGAAAGTGAAGTGGGGTTTGGAGCAGGAGTGGTTTTGGAGCTGTACAGAGGGCTGTGTAGGTCGGGTGGGACGTGGGCGTCAGTGTGTCCATGGGCAGCACTTGGTGTGAGGCCGGACAGCAGCAGGACCGAGCTGAGAGCAAGGGGTTCTGTCAAAGCAACGTTTCCATGACATACATTTGAATTTCTTAGGTGGAGGTTCGCTACCTGGTGACTTCCAGGTGGAATCCCTTCCCAAATATTGATCGATCTTCAAAAACTTAAATTTAACATAGTATTTAAAATTTTTATATTGTGCAAAATTTATAATTTTAAATTTATAAAATGTTAAAGTTATAGTCTTCTAAACTTAGCCTACCAGATTCAGTATTTGTGGATGTATAAGCTTCAGAAATCTCTAAGAATGCAACTGTAAGTCGTAAGAAAGGAAGGCAAGACATGATGAGAGTGCACTGGGAAGTGACCTAATCAAGTGACGAAGCACTGTAACCAACTTACTGAAGAATGTTTATGGGTCACGTGTTGGGAACAAAATACAGTGGTGAACTAAAGCATGGAGATCCCTTGTCACCGAATCACATTGCAGTTAGGAGGGCAGTAATGTGCACTATAAATAAGCAAGTCTACTATATTAGTAATAATAAATGCAAAGGAGAACATAACAAAGCGAGGCCAGTGTGTTGGCTGGTGAGAGGGGTGAGCTCACAGCATAGAGTTATGACTGGAAGGAGAGGGCACCAACCCTGAGGCTGTGAGGGGTGGCCTCAGCCAGGGTGCCAGGTGCAAAGGCCCTGAGGCATGAATGAGTGTGAACAGGGAAAGGAGGAGCCAGAACCAGGCTGCACCGCCTCTTGTGCCTCTGAGGGCCATGGTCCTTCTCTCGGTGAGGTGGGAAGACATCAGAGGTTTCTGAGACAGGACAGACACCTCACTTTTAGGAGGATTGCTCACTCTGGCTGCTGTGTAGAGAGCAGATGACATATGGGGTGGTGGGAGCTGGGAGGAGGTCAGGAAGGTGGTTTTTCCGGCAGCCTAGGGCGTTAGCTTTCTCATTGCTGGGACACATTACCAGTGCCTACAGCTTAAAGGAGGGGAGGGTTAACTTGGCTCATGTTTTCAGTAGATTCAGTCCATGGTCAGCTGGCTCTGAAGCAGGAACATCGTGGTGGAAAGGCCTGGTGGAGCAAAGCTGCTCAGTTCACGGTGGCTGGGAAGCAAAGCAGGGAACAGTGTCAGAGAGAGAGGGGCCAGGAACCAGCCACAGAGCCAAGGTCACAAGTCTATGATCCACACACACTCAGAAGTGTGCTTGATTAATCCGCTCTGTGGCTTCCTAGCCAACCATATTGACAGTGAACCCTCACCGTTACATCTAGGGAGTTCTGATGTGGCTCAGACAATGGAGTTAGGGGCTGGGGGAAGCAAGAAAATTAAGGATATATTATGAAAAGATTCAAGGAAGCTTCCTGATGGGTGTGAGGTAGGAGATAAAGAGAAGACTTCCAAATGACTCTAAGTACTTTCAACTTAGTGCACCGTTGTGAAGGAGTTGACATCAAAGGACATAAAGAAGGCTGACAAGAATCAGGCGCAGGGCATGGAAAGTCAGATCCAGTTTGGAAAGGGCAAGCTTAAGTGCTCTTAGCCACTGTAAGGGTGCTGTTGAGTTTGTGTTGGATATAGGAGTCTGGAATTCAGGGAAGATCTGGACTGGAGAAGAGTTTGGGGAAAAGGAGCGCACTCCTGATACTGACATCCTTGGGAGGATTCCTGGTGAACCAGGTGGGTGAGGGAGAAGAGGCACTAAGGCATGAAGGAATCCAAGAGAATGAGGCCTGGAAAACCTGGGCATGCACGGAGAGGATGGATGGCTTCACGTATTGCTGAGAGAGCAAACAAATCGCAGTTGTAGATTGGATTTGAACTTAGTAACTTGGAGGTGGTTATTTTTGCTTGGAAGAGAGTTTCAGCAGATTGGTAGGATTAGAAGCTGATTGGTGTGAACTAATTAAGAACTCCACAAACTGCGTGTAATAAATTGATGCCTGACATGTAACAGAAGCACAGTGGAGCCTTTACTCTGTGTGCTAGGAAATATAGCAACTTTGTAGTTTTTAAAAACTCAAGGCTAAATGCATATAACTTACATGCATCAGTAACTGCTAATATATTTGTAGACTTCAGTGGAGAAGCTTTTGAAAGAACCAATACAGAGCAGTAAATTGCTATCATTTTCAATGATCTTCAGTTTTGACATTTCTTCTGAGCTGTATTTTTTTACTGAATGGAAAGCGTAAAAGTTGCAAATGATTGTTCCATAATAACGGAATCTTGTGGTGGTCATCTGTGAGCTTTTAACGAGACAGTAACAATGAACCAAAGCTAGGACTAGCCTCTTGCAGATCACAGCATTAAAGAAGTAGCAGTTGGTTTGATTCTTACCTCTGAATTATGTCTACTTATGTTAATGAGCATAATTGCTGACATTTTCCTTAATTTTAGGTGTATAGCTATATCATACTTTCTGTCTATTCCCAGGAAAAAAGATAAGAAAATACTCTACTTTTGTTTGCCGATTGATTGCCAGCTCCTGGGTTGGATTGTCAGTTGTGGCTCAAAATTAGGTGTAATTTCTTGTACTATTAAATTGTTCTGTGCAAAAGATGAAACGACCAACAAAAGACTCAAGGGAATCAGCTTCTAGCAAAGTGGTTTTTATGTTGTTTTTTTCTTCTTAGAATATCCAGCTAAATAACCAAATGTGATACAAATCTCTTTGAAAAGATCTTTTAGTTTACACTAATATTCTTCTGAAATATAAATAAAAGCCTCAGAAAAGGGAATAATTTTTGCAGTGGCATATACCAGACCATGTGAAAATGAATTCCTGACGTTGAATGTGTAAATTCTCTTTAAAATATCACTATATATCTGGCACCTGCCTCGCAAGCACAAGGTCCCGAGTTCAATCCCTGGTGCCAAAAAAAAAAAAAAAAAAAAATCCCTATACATACATGCTACTATGAGATGATTCTTTACTACTGGATCACAGAATCCGATGTATCACATCTGGCTGTTGACAGTCATTAACTGAGCTTGTTGGGAAATAATGACCCAGGAGATGCAATTATTAATCACTTTTATTGGTTCCCCTTTCTTTATTTCAGTAGTGCTGGTTCATTCCTTACTTCTAAGTATACTCAGCCAGTGTTAACAATTTTCTTTTCAATTTTAGGGTGTTATAACTTCATGGTCACTGTCCCAAAACATAGTCTCAATGTAGGGATTAGGATGTCTGCTCCAATAAAATCCTGGAATTCCCAATTTAAGCCAGGGTCATTGATCTTTGTGAACCCTGCTAGCCTTTGACCATGCAGGTAGTCCAGAGCGTCCTGCTCAGGACAGTGTAATGGAAAAGGTGCTCAGAATTACAAAGTGAACCCATTATGGTGAAACACCAATGGTGAAATTAAAATTAAACCTGTGGTTTGTAGTGCTTCTATGCTCTATTAACGTACCAAGCAACAGATCTGATAAGTACTATGATTTTAAGGCAGCATTTGGACACAAATGATATTTTGAGATTTGTTCTATAACTGTAATGTTACCATTGATGATGTGGTCCTGGATGGTTTCTAGGTTCTTCTGTTTGATGAACAAAGAGTTGGATGTGGCACACAATGGGAAGGAAAAAACAGCAAAGGTTAAGCGACAGTATGCTCAGAGTGAGCAGGCTCATGTAGGCAGAAAGGGAAATGGCAGAGTGCTGAAGGCCTTGGGTTTAAGAATTTAAAGTGTTGTGCTGGTCTAGGGCACCCCCATTGGATTTTCCAGAGCATGACTGACCACGTGGTCGATGGTGCTGAATCAGGTCAGCTGTGTGTACTGAGCATGTCCTTTCCCATAATTCCTTCTGTTGTAATTGGATGTATGAGATGCAGTCCATATGCATGAACTTCACTGGTCTCCAAGAGAATATTAAAGCTGACTGTAGGTTGTGCCGGCAGGTCTGGCACACAGGCAGAAGGTGTGGGATTTCAGAATTTTCTAGAGCAGGCTCAGAGGTCTTTGTTTTTCTCATCTCTTCCTTCATACCAGGTCTTAGGACAAAGGTTGAGGGGACTGACTTGGGGCACTGCCCAAGTTCAGATAAAGGGAGAGTGGTCCCGTAGCGATCTATCTGCATCTGTCTATCTATTTGCTATCTGCATCAGTGTAATATGTGAATATCATGGGTTGATTTTCTTAGTAGGGTTTGCTGCCTGTGCTCATCATTAAATTCATGTTTAAATTTCAGTTAGTGACTAGAAAAGAAATAAAAGGAACCATTTTTCCATTGGAGCTTGGAAGCTCCCGAATTCCACCATGCATACTCTGGAGGTTGTGGCCCAGGTGTTAGGGGCTCTCATTTTAGCTCAGTCTTGACCTCAG